TGACTCTCAAGACACTTCCTTATTCCTAACTCTCTGATTTCTTGTATGATTCCTGATTCTTGAACCACATTCCTGATGATGACGTGGTGCCTCCTCGACCTTAGCTATATTTAGGCCGTCCTCGATCCAAGAGTGGTGGAGCTTCATCAATGTATAGTATATATATAGGTTAGTCTTGTTTCATTTCTTCACAATCTGAATCAACACTAGTCTAAGGCCTTTTCTTCGTTTTCACTAGCTTTTCTTTTCGTCTTCTGCATTTTCCAGTCCTGATCTTGTTGGGGGTCTTGACAGTTTGTTTAAAGGGCTCCTTGCTCAGTGGAAGGGACCATTTCCAGTGTTATAGCAAGCTAGATCACAAGTTATAAAGTTTGGTATGATATTTAACAAGTTGATCCTCCAAAAATTATACATATGCAATTTAAGTGTTTTGTATAAAGGGATAAAAAATAACTAACACCACCTACAAATCCATCAGTGCCTCCTTTTGATATTACTCCATATCTTGGCTCATCAATCAAAGAACCCTAATGACTTTTCAAGAGGATGTGAGTATAAGCTCCTGAGTTTGGACTTCCCAGGAGGTCACCCAACCCAGTACTATTTAAACCCAAAGACACTTAACCCCAATTATCCCAAGACCCTTAACCAATTGAAAAAGGGGGTGCACTCTTGTTAATAAGCCCTTTCCCTCTATATTTAAACCCCATGAATTGTCTCTCGAGTTGTTCCCTTTAGTTGCTTACAATCCATCACGCTTCCCTGCAAGGTCACACCCTCGTGAACGGAAGCTGAGAGCCGCAACTCTCCTGAGAGCCCCACTCTCTTGACACCCTATCCCTCGAGTCGAGCCCAGCAGGAGCAAATTGGACTAGCTAGATGTCAATCAACTTGTCCAAGGGGTAGGCCCAATGGGAGCAAACTGGATCAGCCAGATGTCAATCAACTTGTGGTGTGATTTCCTTAGCCAACCAACAAAGTCGGACCCGAGACCGCTCTGATACCAAATGTAAGTTCCTGAGTTTGGACTTCCCGGGAGGTCACCCAACCTAGTATTATTCAAACCCAAGGACATTTAATCCCAATTATCCCAAAACCCTTAACTGATTGGAAAAGGGGGTGCACTCTTATTCATGGGCCCTTTCCCTCTATATTTGAACCTTATGGATCGTCTCTCGAGTCGTTCCCTTTGGTTGCTTACAGTGAAGTCTAAGTATATAGCTACAATACTGTATACTAATATTAGCTTAGTAGAATTTTGGTAGCCATTGAATTGGTTTTAATTCGGACCACTCACTCAGTTAAGGTTTTTTGGATAATTGATATGCATATTGTTTCATTTCTATATTTTATGTACTCATAATGTTAAATTTTAACTTATAACAACTTTGATATAAGATATTATTAGTAATGTAAATGTAAATAGTTTATAGAGACTTAATACCTTTTTTATCAGATATTTAACTTATTGTAAAATAATCAAATTGCAGCAATAATCTCAGACAAAGACAATAATAATATCTAAGAATATTAACTACTTGAAGTTGAGTGATGATATTTATTTTTTTCCTAAAGAAATTAAACTTATTAACATTTTTTTTTTCATTTATTCATAAATAAAATACATAAAAATTTATTTATATATTTATAAACTTATTCTCTTTCAAAACATTTTGTGATTACTATTACTCTTGTAGATTTTATAGATGCTCATAATAAATCTTAATAACATATAATATACACTAATTTATTAATTATGATTTTTCTATCCCAATCAGTATAGAAATAGAAGTGTAAGTATTAGGCCCTTTATAAAAATCGTGTTTACAGACTGAATCTAACAACAAAATATTCTCCGTAGCTTCTCCACGAGGCTGGAAAGGAAGCTCGAATCCGATGGGATGTCTGGAGCCTGATCCGGCATATCCTTTGGCAAGTGCCTGTGGAACGCGTTCACCGCTTCTTTCACGCCGTCCTCCCCGTCCATATGCTTGGCCAGTTGAATCGCTCGCTCTTTCACCTTTTTCCCAAGCCAAAGAATGAGAAACTATCGATCTATGCTAGGAAAACGTGACCAATCTTACCTCCGGCTCCAGCATGAAACGAATGGCAGCAACGAGCTTCTCCAGCGTGAATTGATTCACTGGAATTGGAGCTGGGCCGACTCCTTTAGCATGGACTTGCTCTCCCCAGAATGGCTGATCCCCGAAAATGGGAACTACAGTCGTCGGGCACTGCCAAGCACGCAAACTCATCCTGGTTAAGTCAAAAAAACCTCTGCTCTTGCTCTTGCTTATACCGCAGCTTTGAGACCGGCAGCTGTTGTTCCCGCGCCTCCATGATGAACCTACGACATATAAAGAGAGGGTTGGATGAATTGCAAAAGAAAGTTGTCATGACAAACATACCACTCCAGCGCATTGTGGAAAAAGCCAGTCGTGAGGACAGTTATCCAGTAAATAGATAAAATCTGGTGGATCTTTTACTGCAAAACGGAGTCCAGGTTTGATAACGTTTTAAAAACGCATTACTTACTGTCACCCAGCCCTCCCCAACCCCTGGAGATTATGCCGCGTTGGCCAGTTTCTTCAAGAGCTTTTACTATGATCGACGTCATCCCCTTGGGATCTTGAACAGGCTTCCCAAAACTCGGCGTCAAAACAACACTCGTATGCAATGAAGAAGGATTTAAGACTTACAAGGCTTCCAAAACCAACGTAAATTGGCTTTGCTCCTGCTTGCAGCCACTTGGAGAGTTCCGCATGGGGCTCATAATCTCTGGCAAGATCCAGAAAACAGAAGCCAACCACGTCGACACGCTGGCCCCAGTCTGCAAACAAGTGGAAACTTAAATCAATGTGACACGGAAAAAGACGATACGCAATACCTCTGGGCTTGGGGACCAGATGTGGACTCCATATGTAACCCGTAGGTAAGTCCGATATTGATCCTATTGAACCGCTCAAGTAGGTAATTGGACGGAGCTTAAGTTTCTTCTTCCGGAAGTCGTTTATCATGCTCCGAATTCCCCACCATATGAGGGAGTCCACAACTTGATAAGACATCTGCCATTATTTCAAAACTCACATAAGTGTTTCGCCATAGTATAATTCGCCACTCACCCGGTAACCAGCCGGATTCTTGATGCGTGCCAACGGATGAGGAAACTCACTGGTTGGCCTGCAATAGCGGCCACGGGACATGTTAGTGGTAGTAGAAGAAAGAACGTCAGGTTTTTTCTTACGTCCAAGGCATTGTAAAGAAAATGTGAAGTGGGACTCTCAAGTACTCAGCCACATGAACATGACCTGCAGAACTGTCGGCATTGTAAACGAGATCAAAAAGCCGAGAGAAACTTACCATACGCGGGAGGATTTGCAATCATCGCCTGAGCTCTGAAAGGAACTGGTCCATCAGCCTCAATACAGGCAGGAAGCAACGAGTTTATGATAGCTTTGATCTGCTTTCTTTGAATAGGTATCTCGGATGGATTGGAAGGAAGAAACCCTTTGTTTTTCACCATGTCTGTAATGAGCGCGACCTGTCAGTGAATGAGGCATCAAACAATAAGCTCAAACTGCTACCAGTTGACACGTACATCCAGCTAGAATTTTCGGATCCCCGCCTAAAGGATAGAACTCCAGCCCAGCAGTTAACACAAACTCCCGAAAGTTGGCGTGTGTAGCGAGGCGTACACGGTGGCCGTATTCCTGCGTAAGTAATCACAAGCATGAGTGAGATTTTCACTTCAGAAGAATAAACGAGGAAAACACCTGTAGATGCTTTCCGATCGCAATAAATGGTTGAACATCCCCTCGTGTACCAACGATGAGCATTACAATCTGCAATGGCTGCACTTTGAACTTCCTCTCGTCCCACTCCTCGTCGTAAATACGAAGGGAATCGCTTAGTTCGGGCGCAATGAGCTCGGGCATGATGCGAGCACTTCCAGCCACATCAAACTCGACAGTTCCATCCGTCTTGACTGTAGCCAAGCGTTGCAACATCTTTTTCTGGAGACCAAAAGAAGAAGGTAGTCAGTCCAAGGAATTTATGTTGAAGGAATGTTTACCTTTCTTCTGTCGGACAACTTATCCGCGACCTTTCTTCGTATATTTTCTTCCTCGTGTCTTTGCAAGCTCGCTTTCTCCGTGGCTGATCGCAGCAACCTTCCATTGGAGGTATGATCGCGCGTTTCCTCGCCATTCGTGGCGGGCATGGTCACTGACCGTCCCAATCCCCTATCTTCTCACCACCAAACACAAAAGGTTCTAAGCAAGGAAAAAATAAAAGCAAAGGAGAAGACTAACCGGATCCGGAGGAATTGTCTCCTCGCGACGACGGCGTCGGAGTGGACGCTTCGTCCGATCGCAGCGGCAAAGCTTGCTCGAGCATGAGGAGCGATGGAGCCGAGTACGTCAAGTGGAGCTTGGGCTGATCGTCCGGCGGCTTCACCCGGCACACATCCGACGCTGATTCCTTCAACATCCGCTCGGGCTTGACGCCTTGATCATCGATCTGCTGCGCGGCGGCGGCATTGGCATTAGCTGGACTGGATGGAGCCGAGGAGGAAGAACTGTCCATCGCGACCAAATATCCCAAACCCTTTGTTTCCTCCAAACTCCTGGCGCTGATCCTACTGTAGCTCCCTAGATCGGTTGATCCGAGCCGAAAAGCTCCGCTCCTAGTGGATTCCAATCTGCTCCTCCACCCATGGCGAAATCCTCGCTACATGGCAACCAAAACGATCAATCGCAACCTTTGGAGATATTCACGGTGTGATCACAGACCTAGGGCCCAAGGATGGATTGGATCCGGCGATGGCGATGGAACGCCTCCGGCTCGTTGCGCCGCGCCATAGCTATGCGCTGGACACAGAAGCGCCATAGTCACCCCGATGCCGTCCATCTCAACGGCTTTGTTTTACGCATATTCTATGACGATTCTCCGTAGATTCACATCTAGGTATATTCTCTCTTGCCCTAATTTGCTAGGGCTGGGGAGCATGGGCAAGGAGAGGGATCGCAAGAGCGAAGAGCGCAAGGGCGAGCGGTCATCGCGGGGCGAGGATTCGAAGCGCGAGCGCGATCGGGATCGAGACCGCCACAAGGACAAGGTACGCAGCAGTAGGGATCGAGATCGAGAGCGCGATCGCGAGAGGCATCACCACAGGGACAGGGAGCATCACAGGGAAAGAGAGCGGGACAGGGACAGGGAAAGGGATCGGGACAGAGACAGGCATCGCGAGCGCGAGAGAGATAGGAGGAGCAGGGACCGTGAGAAGCGAGAGAGAAGTAAGCAAGAGGAGGATGACGAGGAGAGGGAGAGGGAAGCGAAGAGGGCGAGAAAGGAAGATGGTGGCGATAGCAGTGGTGAAGGGAAGGGTGTGGAGGAGGAGGGCGGCGACGACAAGGAGGCCGAGCAGAAGAGATTGGACGAGGAGATGGAGAAGCGGAGGCGGAGAGTCCAGGAGTGGCAAGAGCAACGGCGGCAAAAGGAAGATGAAGAAAGGGAGAGCAAAGGTATTGCAGCTCAAGACGAGCAAGGCGAGGTCGCAAATGGCAAGGCATGGACGCTCGAAGGGGATGAGTCTGACGAGGAGGTTGGAAATGGTGATGCGGCTGCTCGAGCTGAAGAGAGCCAAGCTAAGCAAGGTGGAGGAGTCGAGGAAGCTCCGATGGAAGTTGTCCAGGAAGAGGAGGAGGAGGTGGATCCTCTGGATGCTTTCATGAACACCATGGTCATTCCCGAGGTGAAGAAGCTCCAAGCGGCGCCGCCTTCTGTCGCTGGTGCTGGGGCTACCGCTCAAGAATCTAAAGCCTCACAGCCTCCAAGCATCTTGAAGAAGAATCGAGGACCTCGAGGGGACTCGGAGTCCGAGGTGGAAGCCGGGGATGACGACGACAGTGATGCCGAGGAAGACGACGAGGACTTTATAAAGCGGGTGAAGAAGACCAAAGCCGAGAAGCTGGCGGTGGTCGACCACACAAAGGTTCCTTACACTTCCTTCCGCAAGGACTTTTACAAGGAGGTGAAGGAGATCCAGAGGATGAGCAAGGAAGATGTCACGGCATACCGCAAGGAGCTGGAGCTCAAAGTCAAGGGGAAGGACGTCCCCAAGCCGATCAAGACGTGGAACCAGACCGGCCTGAGCAGCAAGATGCTGGACGTGATAAAGAAGCTGGGCTTCGAGCGGCCCATGCCGATCCAAGCACAGGCACTTCCGATCATCATGAACGGCCGGGACTGCATTGGTATCGCAAAGACAGGCTCCGGCAAGACGCTCGCCTTCGTTCTGCCGATGCTGAGACACATCAAAGACCAGCCGCCGCTTGCTCAGGGGGACGGTCCCATCGGTCTCATCATGGCTCCGACGAGGGAGCTTGTGCAACAGATATACAGTGACATAAAGAAATTCACCAGAGTTATTGGGCTTACCTGTGTCCCTGTCTATGGCGGCTCTGGAGTCGCCCAGCAGATTAGCGAGCTCAAGCGTGGTGCCGAGATAGTAGTGTGCACACCGGGAAGAATGATCGATATACTGTGCACCAGCTCCGGGAAGATCACAAACTTGAGACGGGTGACATACTTGGTGATGGACGAGGCCGACCGCATGTTTGACATGGGCTTTGAGCCGCAGATAACCAGGATCGTCCAGAACACGAGGCCGGACCGGCAGACGGTGCTCTTCTCCGCGACGTTTCCACGCCAGGTTGAGCTCCTGGCTCGTAAAGTCTTGGACAAGCCGGTGGAGATCCAAGTTGGAGGACGCAGTGTGGTGAACAAGGACATAACTCAGACGGTGGAGGTCCGTCCGGAGGAGGATCGTTTCCTGCGGCTGCTCGAGCTCCTCGGCGAGTGGTACGAGAAAGGAAAGGTGCTGGTGTTCGTCCACTCGCAGGAGAAATGCGACAGCCTCTTCAGGGACCTTCTCAAGGCCGGGTATCCGTGCTTGTCTCTCCACGGTGCCAAGGACCAGACCGACCGGGAGTCGACGCTGTCCGACTTTAAGTCCAACGTTTGCAACCTTTTGGTGGCGACGAGCGTCGCAGCGAGAGGTTTGGACGTGAAGGAGCTGGAGCTGGTCGTCAACTATGACGTTCCCAATCACTACGAGGACTACGTCCACCGCGTGGGACGCACTGGACGGGCGGGCCGGAAGGGATGTGCCGTGACTTTCATCGCCCCCGACGAGGACAGATACGCTCCCGACCTTGCCAAGGCGCTGGAGCTCTCGGAGCAGCCCATCCCCGAGGACTTGAAGAGCCTGGCTGATGGTTTCATCGCAAAGGTGAACCAGGGGAGTGAGAAGGCTCACGGCAGTGGCTATGGTGGCAGCGGCTTCAAGTTCAACGAGGAGGAGGACGAAGCTCTCAGGGCCGCGAAGAAAGCCCAGGCCAAGGAGTATGGCTACGAGGAAGAGGAGGAGCCTGGCGAGACGGACGACGACAACGAGATCCGGAAGACAGGAGTGGACATGATGCTGGCCTTCACAAACGCAGCCAAGGCCGTGAACTCTCAAGCCGCTGGAACCTCCGTCGCCGCCATCCCGGTCCTGCCGAGCATCACCATCCCGGGGATAGTCCCCGGCCAGCCGTCGGACTTCCGCGACAAGGCGATCCAGGTGGTGAAGAACTTGCAGCACAACATCCAGAAGATCACGGCCGAGTCGCTCCAGGAGCGGTACGAGGCGGAGCTGGAGATCAACGACTTTCCCCAGCACGCTCGCTGGAAAGTCACGCACAAGGATGCGCTGGGACAGATTAGCGAGTGGACTGGAGCCGCGATCACGACTCGCGGGCAGTTCTTTCCACCGGGGAAGATCCCAGGCCCCGGCGAGCGCAAGCTCTATCTCTTCATCGAAGGTGGATCCGAGACCTCGGTTAAGAAGGCCAAGGGGGAGATCAAGCGCATCCTGGAGGAGTCTACGTCCAACATGGTGTTGCAACCGGCTGTCCAACCTGGGAAGTACTCTGTCTTATGATTCATACTCGACGCTTCTAAAGTTTGCTTCGTTTTTTCTTTTTTCTTTTCACGGTGGGCTTCTTTTTTTCTTGAAGGCTGGCAGGATGCCATAGGCTGGGAACTGCTTGTGAGACGCATTTGTCTCTCTACTTACCAATCACTTATAAAGCTCACCTTTTTTTTATTTACTTGCGTTTTTTTTGGTTACGTGTTTTAACCAGAGACTTTTGTGGCTTTCAGGGGGAGCTATTCTCTTGGGAGCTTTGCAAGCACGAGAAGATTTATATCATCCAACAATGGTGATGGGAAATGGTGAGTTTCATTTCTTCTTGTTTTTAACATTCTCACGCTCGTCTTTGTCGTCGTCGTCATTCTCATTGTCATCTTCATCTTCATCATCGTCTTCATCATCGTCATCGTCGTCTTCATCATCTTCATCGTCCTCATTGTCTTCGTCATGGATCTCCACTTTATGCTTCGGTGCTGCTGGCTTGCTCTTGTCCTTGTCCTTGTCCTTGTTCTTGCCGTTGTCAATCCCGCTGGGAGGCGGGAGCTTGCAGCTCTTCAAGGTGTCGCTCAAGTCTTTTGCGTTTGAGACGAGGCCGGGCACCTCCTGCATTATCCGGCCCACGGTTCCACACGACATGTCGGTAGTGATTTTGATCTCCACGTCTGTCTTGGTGGCATCTGCTGCACTGCCACCAGCCGCGTTGATGACAATATCGGACGTGAGCTTTGGCTGTGGAAGGATGGCATGCTCTTTCATGTTTTCCCAGATGGCGAACTCTGGTCCGGTCATGATGATCTTCCACGCTGTGGGATTTGGGACGAGCGTGCCCATGTCAAACCTGCGCGTGGCTTTGTATAAACTTTGATCCTCCAAAAGAATGACTACTACTTGGTTACCTGTTTCCGAGCTTGATGATGAGCCTTTCGTCGACACAGGCAACGTACATGTCGAAGTCTGCTGCAAGAATCGTGATCTTGCTGTCTGAGTGTATGCCGTTGTTTCGTCTCAGCTCCATCAGTTGTGAGATCTTGTCCTTCATCCCCCAGTCGAAGAAATGGTCCCAGAACTGCAAGAGGATCGATTAAAAGCTCTCAGGAGGCTCGCAGACTTACAATGCATGGTATGCCCGGATGCGTGATGATGTATACGTAGCCCAAGAGAACTTTGTCATCGGGAAAATTCCAGTGTCTCTGAGTAGATCCCGTGTCGTGATTGTCGACAAAAGTTACAGCTTTTGTTGGATACCACCCTGCTCAAGACACACAAAAGCATCTTGTTTCCGGGACGAAACATAGATAAGTAACGTTACCAATAAGACCGGGAGGCTTTCCCTCTCCGTCCCGCAGTCGCCAGTACTCGTTCTTCACGGCATCTTGAAGAACTCCTTTGGTGGTGAAGTCGAACACACAGGAAAGTCCTCCAGTACCATCAATCCAATCGCAAAGCTGTTGCCTGTGGGTATCTGTGACGACCAAGAGAGTCAATTCTCCTAAGAGAAACAAATGCGCGCTTACTTTGGTTTGCAGCCGCCCTGCCGTTTTCGTAGTTCAACGAAGTCCAGTACTCGCCCACCGAGAAGCTTGGATGTGTCCTCTCGCAGTATCTATATGAACATGCTCGTTGAGAGTTTCAGGAGAAAAAAGAAAGCAAAGTTTGTTCTTACGTGATGTTGGTTGGATGTGTAACGTGTTGTTGCTTACATCTTGGTGTAGGCCGGTGAGTAGCCCTTGACGAAATCGAAGCGCCAACCATCGAATCCAATCTCTGCCTTCATCCAGTTCATCCAGTCTGTGAGCTCGTCTTGCACTTGCTTGTTGGAATGGTCCAGGTCCGGAGCCGCTCCATAGCTCTCACCACTATCCTTGGACCCCTTCCCACCACTGTCATAGATGTCGTTGCTGACCAAAGCCCACGGTCCCCAGTCAAGCCTCTTGTCCTTGGTTCCACCCTCGTAAAGGTTCCAGTGTCCAGTTGAGTCTTGCTTCCAGCCACTTCGATGGTTGATCACGATGTCGGCGATGCAGCACAGGTTATGCGAATGCAAGACGTCGATGCATTCCCTCAGCTGGGCCTCATTCCCGTAGCTCGACGAGTTAAGATCGTAGAGCTGAGTCGGCAAATATCCTGGGAGCAAACCGTGGAGTCAGAGCAAGTTTGCTGAAACAACAGCCACCAGGAACGAAAAAAGAGTGTTGTACCATGCTTATCAACCGACTGTGAAGGTGGTGGAAACCACACATCTGTGAAGCCGGCAGCTTGGATCTCCGCAGCCCTGCTCTTGAGAGTGTCATACCAAGGCTTCTTTGCTTGAGATTCCCAGTTGAATCCCTGGAGGAAACAAAGGAGAAAAAAATGATCAATGCTTCGAAAACTAAAAACCATTGCTTACTTGCAAGACAATGTGGTATCGAGAATCCGGATAAGTCGGCCGAGGCGGCCTCTTCTTTCGAACCACACCGCCGCTACCACCGCCGCTACCACCGCCCTGCTGCTCGGCAGCGCGAATCGCTAGATTTCGCTTTCTCCATTTCTCTTCCGACCGCGAAATCCCAATCGCGAGCGGGTGACAGATCCCACAAACGCTGTCCGCGTTGCTGCCACTACACCCTACCTTCCCGAAAGATCTTGCTGCCCGGCTCGACGGGGCCGCGATTCTCACACTGCAGCAGGCGCCAGCGCTGCCGCCGCTCCTCAGCCTCGCCGCCGAGCACGATGGATCATCCACAACCACGCAGTGGAGAGCGGCGATGGCGCAATGGCTCATCTCTCCCGCGCATTCTCTCTGTGCCCTAGGTTTCCTCTTTTTTAAAAATGGATTAACTTAGTGATAACCTTGATTAACAAAGCTTGGATTAACAGTATCTTCGTCCTACGAGACGAGCGTCTCTAAGATTTGGTCTGTGAATTCTCGGAGGATATGACCTCTCTCAGGGATTTCGTGATACTCCACCCACGATTCTAGCTTCTTCACCACCATTCTTTGGAGCTCCACTGGCACCAAGAAATCCTTCTCGCCTTGCCAGACGTGGATGATCTTCTTCGTCAAGTTCTCGCCCTCGAACGGGTTCTCCAGCTCGGCCGGATCAAACGGCCACTTCCCAAACATGACGCTCGAGTCCCGGCACAGCGATTCACTCAGTCCCTGCTGCAGCGCTTCTTTCCTCTCCTGCCAAGAGGAAACTTTGTCAGAGATTTGATCCAAAGGAGGAGAGATTGACGAACTTGGGCGTCGGATTCTCTGGTTTCTTCTTGAGCTGCTCGATCAGAGGGACAGATATCGGCCTGGTTCATGTTGACGGTGCTGGACGTTGGAAGGATTTTCTGTGTGAGCCACCAGTAAACGAGCCAGGGCGCGTAGTGCGAGACACTGAGGAAGAGGCGGTCGCCCAGCGGCTGCTTGTTAAACACCGCTCGGCCCTCGGGCGTGGACACGCTCGGCCAGAAGTAGTTTACCACCGGCACGACTAGAGCCACACCGGCGAGCCTGAGAGAACAAGATCAAACCAGTGAGACAAACTTTTGTTCTCATAGAAGCAAGCAAAACAAGTCTTTGATCAATGCAGGAAAAAGGATTGAGCAGCAAAGATCGAAAACCGAGCCTGGAGACAAACACACACAAGAAAAATCCAGAAAGAAATCACGCAAAAATCACCACGAAAAGCTCACGAGCAAAAACGCAAGCTTTCCACGGAAAAGGAAAAGCGAGAAAGCGAACCTTTGTGGAATGTATTTAATGCATCCCCACGCGCCGTGAGCTCCAAGAGAGACGGACAGAACGTAGAACTTGGATCCCAGGCCGAGAGAATCGGCCAGTTCTTCCACATCGCGAGCCTCCGACTCGACGCTCCTGGCAGGATGTGGATCGCTCTGTCCATAGCCGGCCCTGTCGTAGCTCACCATGTACACTCCCAGCCTTTCAATCGTATCCTACAGTCACACATTTCGATCGATCTGTCCAGGGGAAGCAACAACAAGTAGGAATTACCGGCGATGCGCTGATGAGAGCGAGCCGGCAGCGCGTGTAGCCGTGGAGGATGACGATCTTGTGCTTGGCTTGGTCTTTTGGAACTCCAGCTTCCTTGTAGGCGAGGTAGCGGCCATCGCGCAGCTTGATCCGAGGCGCTGTCACTGGCGGGCCGCCTGGAGCTCCACAAATCTTCGGCGGAGGCGCTCGGATGGCCACTACCGCCCAGGACACGAGCACAGTCATCGTGAGCAATGCAGCCTTGGACCAGAGCCCTGGAAGGAAGAAAGAAACACACCGGATCGATCGATGCCCACCAGGAGTGAAGATATTTCGATCAAGATCTTACGCGAGATCGACGCTGCTGCCGCGGAATCGTTGCGCGTGAAAGCTCGCGCCTTGGACGCTGATACCCTGGCCATTGAATCCCAAATGGCACGAGATAGAAGAAAACCCTACATTAGGGTTCTTGGTGGTGTGGTTAGCTCGCGATGGATGCCACGGGCCGGCCGGCGGTCGTGATCGACAATGGCACCGGGTAAGAACGATCGATCTAGAGCGCTGCCTGCATTCTTCCTTCTGCGATTCAGATCATCGAAATTTCATCCTTGGCAGCTACTCCAAGATTGGATTCGCAGGGAATGTGGAGCCGTCCTTCATAATCCCCACGGTCGTGGCGATCAACGAGTCCTGCCTCGCCGCTTCCTCTCCTGCCGCGCTCTCTCCACAGGGCAAGGGCGGATGGCTCGCGCGCCACAATGCTGGTGTCATGGCCGATCTCGACTTCTTCATCGGCGACGAAGCTCTGGCGCGGACTCACGGGCCTGCGTACACGCTCACGTATCCGATCCGTCACGGCCAGGTCCTGCTTGCGATCCTTCTCTACCTCTCTCTTCTCTCGTGATTCATGGTTTCTTCTTCGTCCAGGTGGACAACTGGGACGCCATGGAGAGGTTTTGGCAGCAGTGTATCTTCAACTACCTGCGGTGTGATCCCGAGGATCACTACTTCCTCTTGACGGAGAGCCCTCTCACGGCGCCAGAGAATCGAGAGTACACTGCCGAGATCATGTTTGAGACTTTCAATGTTTCGGGCCTCTACATTGCTGTGCAAGCTGTTCTAGCTCTCGCTGCTGGCTACACAACTTCCAAGGTTCTTGGAGATCTTCTTTTTGTTTGTAGCTCACTCTTCTCTGTCTCCAGTGTGAGATGACCGGGGTTGTGGTCGATGCCGGCGATGGAGTCACGCATGTCGTGCCTGTTGCCGAGGGATACGTGATGGGCAGCAGCATCAAATCCATCCCAGTAGCCGGTCGAGACATCACGTCCTTTGTGCAGCAGCTCATGCGAGTACGTATATGCCTGCGCTTCGTTTTCTCGCTGACAAGGATGCATGGACCGATTTCCAGGAGCGAGGCGAGCCTGTTCCTCCCGAAGACTCGTTTGATGTTGCCAGGAGAGTGAAGGAATCTTACGGGTACACATGTGCTGACATTGTCAAGGTAGTGCGAAAGATGTTTTTCTTTCTCCTTTGCTTTCCTGCTTGCTCATGCATTGAACTTCATTCAGCATACGTTCGCAATTGCAGGAGTTTAATAAGCACGACAGGGAGCCGTCCAAGTACATGAAGCAATGGACTGGCACGAATTCAAAGACCGGGCAAGCTTACAGTTGCGATATTGGTTACGAGCGTTTTCTCGCTGCTGAGGTAAAGCCTTCGGCTTTTTCTTGCGTGTGCTAATTTGCTTTCGCTTATTTACTTGCTGCAGTCATTCTTTGCTCCTGAAATATGCAGTAGCGACTTTTCCACTCCTCTCCCTGAGGTTGTTGACAAGTGCATTCAGTCCGCCCCGATTGACACCCGCCGAGCGCTTTACAAAGTAAAACTAAACACGCTCCCTGTGCTCCTCTTCTAACACACTCTAAAACTGTCAACAGAACATTGTTCTCTCGGGAGGTTCCACGCTTTTCAAAGACTTCCAACGGAGACTTCAGCGTGATATCAAGAAAATTGTCGACTCCCGAACCACGGCAACCGCAGCAAAATACGGTGGGGATGTCAAGGTGTGTGTTTTCTTTTTCTTTTCTTAGTCGTGCTGTGATCTTGACGCTATGGAGACCTTCCAGCCTGTAGAAGTGAACGTGGTTGGCCATCCAATGCAGCGATTCGCCGTCTGGTTTGGCGGTTCGGTCTTAGCTTCGGCTTCAGAGTTCTACACGGTATGTGCATTTCAACTTTGATCTCTTCTCCATCTCACTCGCTTGGTGCTGGCATCACCTCAGGCATGCCACACAAAAGCGGAGTATGAAGAGTATGGACCCACTATATGCCGCACCAATCCGGTGTTCAAGGGAATGTTTTAAAGGCAGACAAGGTATTTGCTGTTTTTCGTTAAAGGTTTTCGTATTTCTACCTTGATACATATATCGATATGTAAGGATGGAAGCTCTGATGGAGGTGATGACGCCAGATCAATTCATGGAGATGAAATTTACTGAAAAGATGGATGGAGTGGAAGGCTGGCAGGGAGATGGTGGGTGATGCCAGAACTGTGACGAGTTGCCAACGAAGACATGGGTGCGATGGAGAGCGAGCAAAGGTTTCCTTGAAGCTGCTAGCAGGTCCCGGCTCCGAGCATGGCTTCCTCGGTGAAATCGAAGAGAGGTTTCGGCGGAGCAAGTGCTAGCCAGACGGGCTAGAGTTTCGTCAAGGCGCGTTTCATCTCTTCGAAGGGAGCGTTTACGCCATGGGTGTGAGGAAAGTGGATCAATCCGAGGTGACTTTGGAGTTGCTAAGCTGTGCGCAGGGATCCCAAAGTTGGCAAAGGGTTTGGAAAGGTGGCAAGTTTTTCTACATGTAGGAGAAGAAGTGGCACTTTGGTCGAACGTTTTGGATTTTGTATCGTCTCCCTTTGGCCCGTTTGAAACAGTCCTGGATGAAAGTCGGATGACAAGAATTTTATATTCTGAGATTTTTGGCTCATCTTTGTCTCTTGCATCTTATAAACGCAAATAGTGTAGAGACTAGCTTTTGTTTTTCTTTCTTGAGGATGAGGATGAGATGGATGATGCGAGGCTTTAGGAGCATCACAAGCTTCTAACCAGCTTCATCATTTACCAGATTGGTAGAGAGAGCGTACCTTTTTCTCCTCTTAGCTTTGCTGTTAGAAATCTATCGACCAGTTCTCCTGCTGTTGTAAGGATGGAAATGGTGGCGGTGGCAATGGTGGAATGAAGTAATTGGACCCCTCGGGGAGGCAAAAGTCGTCCAGCTCTACGCTCGAATCCTCTGTGATCCTGTTTAGTCCCTGTGGCTGCTGGTTCGATGGTGCTGCAGCCTTGAACGATGCAAGATCCGGCAAATCCATTTGCTCCTCCACCGAGCTACTAAAGCTCGACTCTCCTCCAGACCGCTGCTCCTCCTTGATCGCCGCTGCATTCGCCGTTGGAGCTACACTCCAAGCGCTTCCCCACTCGTCTTGCATCTTCAAATTTCCCAGCTCGATCGATGCTGTTCGTTGCAAAGCTCCTCCACCTCCACCGCTTTGGTTCCGATCAAACGCAACCTGCCTCATCTTGAGAGCTCGAGGACCTTTCAAAACCTGTGCTCCACCACTGCCTCCGCCACCACCACCACGAATCGATGACTGGAGCTGCTTGAGAGCTGTCAAAGTCCCGGGATCAAGTTGCTCCACGCCTTTCCCGAACACACCACCGGCACACGAGGTTGTCCGAGCGATGGAGCTCTTGGATGATCCAGCCGGGCGGACGAACATCGAGCCACCAAAGCTACCACTCTCGTCAGCCTGGAACGAAGCAATCGGATGAGGTTCCATGTCCACCCCGCTCAAGCGCTTGAGTCCCAGGCGATATTTCTACACACCACCACCACCACCACCACCACCAAAAACCGGTTAGTCATATTAGCTGTGCCGAGAAAGCCAAAACAAAACTTACAAATCATAGGCAATATATCACCTGCAAATGACTTGCGACATTCTCCCTCGTGAGTCCTTGGACACTCATAATCTCCAGAATCCTCTTTGGCACCGCTTCTGCTTCCACAAAGATTTCGATCAAGCATAGCTTCTTCTACTGAAGAAAGAGATACAAGGCAACTTACTTTCAACGCCCAGCTGATTCACTGCCTTGACGAACAGCCTGTGGAGATCCCCGGACCAGACAACTCGAGCTTTCTTGAGGCCGGACATGTCTTCTATCGGGTCATCACCACCCGAACTATCGGCATCCTTGTCTTTCCTCTTCTTGGACGTGTACTCCGGGAACTTCTCGCTGCTATCGTCCCATTCTCCGGACGATTCCTCCTTGGCAGCCTCTTTGGCTCCACGCTTTCGCACTACGTGCTGCCAGATGTTCCGGAGCTCTTCGATGCGCACGGGCTTGAGGAGATAGTCGCAAGCGCCGTGCGTGATCCCTTCCATCACCACGCTCGTCTCTCCATTGCCAGACATCACTATCCAACAAAGATAACACTTTTAGCCATCCAAGTAGTAGAAAAAAGAAAAACCCAAGTGAGAGAGAGAGAGAGAGAGAGTATGATCGCTTACTTATGACTGGAAGATCCATTTCCAAGCCAATGAGCTCCAAGAGCTTGAATCCATCCATGTCTGGCATGTAGACATCGCTGATGACGAGGTCAAATTGAAATTTCTTCTCGCGTAGCAGCTGCAGCGCTTCCACGGCCCTGCTACACGCAGTCACTGGCAGACAAAGAACATCAATTCCCCAGTAAATTCCTCTCGCCCAAAAACTTACCGTGATATTTACACTGTAGGAGCATCTTCTTGAGGAGGAGCAAGCACAATGGATCATCGTCCACAACTAGCACGCGCATTCCTATAGGAAAACCCTCTCCATCCGTCGTATCGTCGCTCATCGTTTCGGCCCCGGCGACTAGGGATTCCTACCGATTCTAGCCAAATCAAACCCTCCCCCGGCCAAGATCACCTCCAATCCCCTCCCCGGCACCGCGGGAATTCACATCCCCGTGCTGCCAATGGAGTAGAATCCCACACCATCGCCACGCGCGCCCCTAGCCAAAAGCAAAGGAAGAAGAAAGAGGAGAAAAGAGCTCATAGCAAAAGGGAAAGGGAGTCGTCGGATAGGCTACACGTGGTGAATATTCCGGGGATATTCTTGTCCGGGGTATATTCCGCTTGACAAACGCCCGAGGTGACAATTTGTCAACGATGGTGTTCTTCACGTACGGCAAGTTGACACTGCATGCCAAGAGATTCCCGTGAAAGACTGGGACTTTAAACACACACACACACACACACACACACACAAAGAGAAGTTCCTTTCTCTTCTTTAATTGGTGAAGATCTACTCCCACTCTCGGATATAAAACTTCGATCTTCCATCCTCTCATCCCGTACGGATGAGACACTCACAAGTTGTATAGAACTTCGTTCTTCCAAGTACAGGAACAAGAATGTTCTCTCCGCCTCGTACGGAAGACAGTGTGACAATAAGATTGTGTGGCCCATTCTTTGTCTTGTCGTACATAGTTCTTTACTTTATCTTTAGAGCTTCTCTCGAGGTTTTCCTCGATCAATCACCAAAACTTTAGTAGAAAACCTTAGCTCTCGAGGTTCTGATCTCCTCCGTAGATGGTAGCCATGAGGACGTACGGCGAAGCGCTCTTGCCGTCCACCTCCATGATCTTCCCAAACGCGAGCTTCGCCACCTCCACATTCTTCCACTTCTTACACGCCGCCAAGACGCTCGTCCACACCGCCGCATCCGCTCGCCCCGGCATGCTCTCGATCATCTCCACCGCCTCGCGGAGCCGATTGTCACGTCCCAGCATGTCGATCACGCAAGTGTAGTGAGCGATCCCGGGAGCAATCGACGAGCTCGCCACCATCGCCTCGAAAATCTTCGTGCCTCGGTCCACGAGCCCGGCATGGCTGCAAGCCGCCAGGACCGGCAGGAAAGTCGCGGCGTCGGGATCCAATCCTTCCTTCTGGAGCTCGCGGAAGAGCTCGAAAACTCGCGCTGGATCGCCGTGGCGGCTGTATCCACTGACGAGAGCGTTCCAGTGAGGAAGAGCTGGAGAAGTGGTTGAGTCGAAGACGTGGTGCGCGACGACCATGCTGCTGCCACACTTGCCGTAGAAATCGATCAGGGAGCTCGCCACCGCAGCGTCACTCTGGAATCCATCCCGGCAGGCCAGAGCGTGGAGTTTTCTCCCAGAGTCGAGGCTGGCGAGGCCGCTGGAAGCCATGAGAGCCGCGACGATGGTGAGCGGCGAAGAAGAAACTCCTCCTCCTCCAAGAGCCAGCATCTCCTCCAGGAGATCTAGTGCTTGTTGGTGCTGCTCGTTTTCCACGAATCCCAGCATCATCGCGTGCCAGGACACGGGCGTGCGCTGCTGCTGCCCGATCGAGTTGAAGACCAGCTTCGCATCGCTCAATCCTCCACACTTAGCGTACATGTCGATCAAGGTGTTGGCGACGAAGATATCTGTGTCGTGTCCCAGCTCCATCGCTCGGCGATGGATCCTCCTCCCTCTTTCCAAACACTGTTGGAGCTTGGACGAAGATCCACACTTTCCACCATCGCCATCTTTGGAAGCCAAGCTGGTGCAAGCCGAGAGAGCAACCCTGAAAGTTCTGGCGTTTGGAAGAACGCTGCTGCTTGCCACCATGGATTCGAAGAGCTCGAGAGCTAGCTCCGGCTCGCCATTCTCGGAGAGTCCCAGCAGCAGCGACGTCCAGCAAACGACGTTGTGAATCGCCATCCTGTCAAATACCGCTCGAGCGTCGGCGAGGCTTCCACAGCTCGAATACATGTCTACCAGCGTGCTCGCGACGAACAAGTCGGAGGTATCCAGTCCCAGCTTCGCCGCCTCACGGTGGATCGCCATTCCTTTCTCCAGTGACACCAGCTTTAGACCCGGATCGTCGACTTGTTGGCCGATGCTCGAGCAGGCCATGAGCGCCCCCACCAAAGTCCGAGGATTCGGCGACCACGAACGCTTTCCATCATCACCCTGCGAGAATAAAATGGATAGAGCGAGCTCGGCTTGATCGTTTTCCACGTACCCGAGCAAAAGAGAGTTGAGCACGACCATGTTGTGGCAAGGCATTCGCTCGAAAACTCGTCGAGCATCCTCCATGCTTCCACACCTCGCGAACGCGTCCACCAGCGCGCCCGCGAAGAAGATCTCTTGCTCCACTCCGTGTTCCCGAGCCAGGCAGTGGATCGTCCTCGCTCTCTCCAAACTCGAGAGCTTCAGTCTTCCATCCACGCCTTGCTCCTTTCCTGCGAGACCAGCACAAGCCATGAGCACCGCCACAAAAGTATGAGCGTTTGGATCACACACCTCGAGCATCGAGTGGAAAAACTCCAGCGCAAGCTCCAGATCACGATCGTCGCTGCTCTCAGCGTATCCCAGCAGCAAGCTCGTCCATGCCACCACGTCGTGGCGATCCATCCTATCGAAGACAATGCGCGCATCGAGCGAGCTTCCACTCTTCACGTACATGTCAATGAGAGCACTCCCAACGAAGATTTCCGTGGAGTCGAGCTTGCTGCTGGCTGCCAGGGAGTGGATCGCCATCCCTTTCTCCAGGCAAGAAATCACGGAGCTTCCATCTTTGCTTGCCGCCGCCAGCTTGGAGCACGCGGTGAGAAGAGCCACCAAGATCCTGGAGTCGCCAGCGAGCTTCTCGGCCAGGATGCGAGGGAGGAGATCGAGGGCCTGCTCGAAATCCTCGTTGATCACGTAGCCAGTGACGAGAGCCGTCCAGGCGATGGCGTCGCGGCGGATCATCTGGTCGAAGACGCGGCGGGAGCTCTCCATGCTGCCGCAGCGGGCGTACATTGTGGCGATGGCGGTGGCGACGAAGATCTCGTGCTGGAGATGGCGCTGGATGGCATCGAAGTGGAGCTTCTTGGCCGTGTCCATGTCGCGGCAGGAGCCACACGCCCTGAAAGCGTCCAGCAAGCTCCACAGCGATGGCGAGGAAGGAGATTCAGGAGATTTCTCATCGCTCTCTTGCTCCGGCGCTCGAAATGGAGATGGGAGTGGGTGATTTCTTCTTCGCCCTGCCCTGAGAGAGAAGCACTTACGTGATCGTGGACGAGAGGAAGCCAGTAACACCATCAATCATCTTGCGCATTCTCCAAGAACCCTAAAATCCTCTACGAGTGAAAAAAAAGAGAACTTGATGGAACTATCAACTTTAGAACAAAAGGAGATCTTCAAAGCAATTGCTGGAGCGCTTGGAGCTCCTCCATCTCGATCGATCTCGCAGCACTATCGCCCTTCCATTCCTCCACCACAATCTCGTAAACTCGCCGCTGCTGCCGAGGATTCCCAATCACCCGGCGAGCATCGAATTCGCGACAGAGCTTGAGCTTCTTGGACGCCGGCTCCAACTTGTCCACCACGTCGCCCAAGATCGGCTCCTTGGACACATACTCCATCCTCGCCTCCACAAGCTTCCTCGTCGCCCTCTTCACGCCATCGCCAAGCTTCATGGCCTCATCCACCAGCCCCTCCTCTCTCGCCAGCATCCTCCTCAAGAGGTTCGCCCTCTTGCTCACGCACTCCACCATCGCTCCAAGCAGCTCCTCCTCCTCCAGCCACAGCAAGAGCTCGAAAAACTTCTTCTGGTCCTTCCAAGTCTTGAAAAAATCCTGGTAGTTACAGAATCGATCCTTCTTTGTGCCGCTGGAGGTGCCACCGTGGTATTCAGTCCAGGTACTCGTCTCCGCTAGATCAGCCACGCTCACCAGCTGATCCACGCAAAGCTTGACCAGCACCTTCTTGGCCGCCTCGTTGTTCTTCAAGCCAACCAAGCCCGCAGCCTTTTCCATGGTAATGATCGCAACACAACGCTCGCTCTCCCCCAAGAGGAAGCGTGACTTGTCCAGTATGAGCTCGGGCTTGTTTAACAGCAGCATAACCACGATCCAGTGCTCTTGTAGATTGGTCATTCCCGGACCACTTTTTTCCGTGAACTTCCGTGCAGCACAGTCGCAAGGAAAGGGCCTGGCAGCGAAACCCAGCGCTTCATTGTGATGTCCCAGCGATTCTAGCTCCAGCATAAACTCCACCATGTCGCGCACGTACGCCTCACACAGCTCTCCCGAGCTCTTGCCTTTCAAACTGGACCCGGAACTATGACGACTATAGCCATAGCCATAGAAACGGTGTGGCTTCTTCTCCTCCTCTTCCTCCGCCAACTTTCTATCCTCCGCCATCTTCTTCCTTTCATCCCAGGCTCTCTCCACTTCGGCGCTGCGGCTCGAGAAAGAACGCATCACTTTGGCCAGCGTTCTGCCGTCCAGCCTCTGGAGGGTTAGCTTGCCGAGAATCTGCGAGGCCTCCTCCTGGAGCCCAGCTTCGAGGCAAAACTCGACCAAGAGCGTGATCCCATCATCTTCTCTTTTCGTGAAGCCGCCCTGGAACTCGGCCGGGAGCTCGGTGGAGTTTGCGATGAGCTTGGCACACAGTAGCTTTGCAGCTCCAATGGCCCCGTCCTGATACCCGACCTGGTCCCGCAGCCGCGAAGGAAAGCCTCCCAGCTTCATCACAGCGGCATGCCACGCAGGAGCTTCACCACTTTCGTCTTGCCATAGAAAGGATACTTGTTTCTTAGGTGGAGTCTTCTCCACGCACTTTATGACTCCAGCAACGACCTCCTTGCAAACCTCCCAGCCGTAAGCTTGCACGGCATTGGCGAATTCCCTGATTTCTATCAGCTCCACATTCCAGCTCCTCATGATCGACAGCGCCTCGTCGCTAAGCCCAGACTTGATGCAAACTTCGAGCAGCATTGCCGGACCTTGGAGGAGCTCTTCTCGCTCGTTGTAATAGCTCCTTTCGAGAAGCGGAGCCAGCGAATCAAACCGGTGTGTCAAAGACGTGACTATCTCCTGTAAGTATGCCCTCGACAGTGATCCAGGAGCTGCAAAGTCACCGCCATTTTCTCTCATCCAGTCCAGCACCCAAGTTATGTCCTTTACCGACGAGCAGATCGTTCTCATCAGGCCGCCCTTGGGCCAAACCACGAGAACTGCTACGTGATAGAAGTACTGATCAGTTCCACCTTCGTTGCCAGCCATCATCCCGGTTCCTTGGAACTCGTCCTCGAGGAAATCAAACAAGTCAGCGTCGTCATCGTCGCCATAATTGGTAGCTGTCTTGAGAACTTCTTGCTTGATGTCTATGTTCCACTTCATAAACTTTGCTGGCTGGTCGTCCGCTCTGATCCAATTGTCAATCACGTACTCGACCTCGGAATCGTCTGTCACGGTCTTGTGCTTGGTGAGCATGCAGAGATGGAGCTCCAGAAACTCGCAAGCTCTCACGAGAGCGGCCACCACGCGGTCGTGACCCTTTAGCCCCGCAAAAGAGAGGCTCGTCTTCGAGTACTTGTGCCAAAGGAATCGCCAGGAGCTTACGACCCTTCCTGTCACTCTTGCCGACGTCTTGATGGTCTTCGTCATCATCAGCTTTCATTGTTATCATCATCTATATCATCACCTTCTGCTTGATCTGCTTGATCATCACCAGTGCCAGCAGCCCATTGCTGGAAGAGAGCTCTCACTCGGGGAAGAGCCGAGACGAACGACGGGACGTTCTCCGCGGGTATAAACTCCACGTTGCTTCTCACCAGGCTAAAAACCAGGCACAACCTCGACCCGCTCGTCACTTCCTTGAGCTGATGCTCGCAGTCGCAAAAGAAGATCGTCGAGAAGTAGTGGCTGGAGCTCCCGTCCGAGAAATCAAACTCGCAGCACTGCCGTCCCTGGCGGACCGCGAGAGCCCCGCCGCTGTGTCCCGTGCTCGTCGGAAGTTGCAAGATCATCGTCGCAAACATGCCATCTTGTCCCTGTGGAACTTGAAGTGGCCGCCAGCCTCGTAGAGCAGCAGCTTGTAGAGCTTGACGTCGAGCCCCAGAGCAGTCGAATCCAACCCCATGACGGAGAGTCCATGCGCGGCCAAGTCGTGAGCCACGGACGAGAAGAAGTTTGGAACCTCGGGGCAAGAGACCCTCTCGGGATTGATCTGCCAAGCTCGCCTCACATCCGTGTCGACGAGAGTTCTCTCCCCAAGGCCGTATGGAGCTTGCTGGCACACGGACTTGATTGGAAGATCGATCTTCTCAGCACCTTCCACCAGTTGCGACACATCCGAAACTTTGCTACATCGATCTCACCTCCGGTGGCGAAGACCTCGCGGTCGCACCACAGCGCCTTGTTGAGCTGCGCCATCGCCATTCTCTTCTCTTGGACCTAGACATGTTATAAGGATGGAAATCTTGCTCAAAATTTAGGGCTCCCACACTGAAACCCAAACCTCGTCATCTTCTTCAGCTTCATTGAATCATCACAGCGGCATGCCACGCAGGAGCTTCACCACCTTCGTCTTGCCTTAGAAAGGATTCTTGTTTCTTAGGTGGACCTGGTAGAAGTGGTGACAAACAGGTTATTGCCGTGGGCTACGTTCCTGTGGCCTCATGCTCCTGCGGCCTCGTGTGTGGCATTCATGGAGGAGACATAAACGACTACGTGCCAGATTGGCCACGCGTCTGCAATCCTCGCACGGGTTTCCACCGTGAGCTACCCACTGACCTTAACAACACTCCTGATTCAGCGCACACCTATGGTCAGATCAAGTTGGAAATGAGCGGCAACCATATCAGTTCAGCCTTCACCTGCTTTGCACACAATCAAGTGATATGTACACCGTTTATACTTGGCACTCGAGCGGCCACACCACCTCTAGTATACTCAGTCAGTCGACTGGCCTCTTCAACTTAGCAATCTGCTAGTGATGCACACACTAACATGCTTGACTCTGGAGAGGCCCGAAGCTCTCAATCTCAAACATCATAATTGGCTGGAACTTACAATAAGTGTGCACTGCCTCAAGCTTGCATCTACATCCCATAGAACCTTGTCACAAGGGCTGCTGGGTAAGCTCATGATCATGGGGCCACATTGCAATACATCTAAGTCAGTTCCCTTCAAGCAAGTAAAAAATTGTTATATAAGTATACTGTGACGTCACCCTAAGACTGTCAAATGTAAGCTTGCCCACTAATCAAGTGGTGGCTTCTTGTTCGGCCATTGTGGGGTAGAAAAATGACATGGCAAATAAGCTTCAAGGAAAACTCAATGCCACTTCCACTAGCAAAAGTGTTAAATGAAAAAAGTGTGTGGTGGAAGCATTGTCTCTGGCTGCCATGGAAAAGGTTACAATTGGAGTACCTGTTAGAGGGTCAAGATATAGTAGGATATCCTTCCATGGATGATGTTTTCAAGCAGTCAGTGATGGTTAGTGTTGTGGCTGATAAGGCCCTTGAGAACCTTATCTTTAGGCCAAAGCGTCCACCATATGGCGAAAAGAGCAGCATTAGATTCAGTCTTAGGAGGAGACTTTGGCTTCTTGTTTCAAATAGAGAAAGCTGTAGACAGATCACAGTTGGCGGCAGAAAAGAGAAGCCATCCAAGAATCAGATATCTCTTTGATTTATTTGTTTCCCTATGTCATGTGCTCATTAGGAC